ATATTTGTTTTGTTTTTTTCAGTACAAAGCCGTAAGGGGACAGGAAACAGTTAGTTTAGCTCCTTACAGAATCTTAAGTGTAAAAATGACACGGGAAAGTGCAAAGTTTTCACTGTTTTCTGTCTAGTCAAGCTTCAGCTAACCAGGAAAAACTAAACCTTTAATAAAAAATGATTTATTAAGTTCAGGCTACATTAAGAATACATATAGTTACACAAGCACACAAAATTGAGATTAATAAGACACAGTGAAAGAAACCACTCACCCCCACTAAGAATAATTACAGCCAGAAAGAGCGCCATGTCGCTGTCATCCAGCTCCAGCAGGTTAAACCTGACAGAAAATTCAAACTTTGGTTCCATCATTTGACAAAAAGGTTTTCTGAGACTCTTGAGGAACTCTCGAGTCATAAAAATCTGTCCATAAGAGATCAGAGTGCCATCTTTGTTCATCAGAGGCGACATCATGATGATTAAGACTTCGATCACACCGTACTTCAGCAATGTTACCTGAAAACAAACATACAAACAGGATTAATGGAAATATTGGAATAAATATTCATTTTAGGTTATCAAAAGTGATAAAGATGTATTGGTAAACAACTGAAACTGTGAATAATTTATATTTAACTACAAAGCTTTATCCAATTTGTGTTTTTGTGTATCTTAAATTTGATTTAGCTTGATTCAAATTCCTCTCAACAGATTTCCTCACTTGATCGTTGAGGTCCAGATCGATGAAACCTGGAATACTCTTTGCAAACTCTGTCACTTCTCTCACTGCTTCTGCCGAGCGAGACTGACAGCTGTGGAAGAAACGCAGCTCCACCATGTCTGGTGTTTGTCCAAAGAAGTTTGTCTCCAAAGCTCCAAAATCTGACCCCAAGTGAGCTTCTGGGATTCCTGAAACTGTAGGAAAGAGATATAACGGATAGAAAAAGAGGTGAATAAAAATAAAAATCTTTCATCTCTGTTGAAGAAGTTCAAATGACCAGATCAAAGATTTTAAATTCTGCAGTTTCATGACTAAAGTCAGAGAAAAATTAAGTTTAAGTTTGTTTAAAAAAGCCACGAGCCTATCTAAATCGTTTCTTATTTTTTTATTTCTCTATATGAGTTCCACCTTTTTTTTTCACAGTCACTACAATATGTAAATTAATCTGTTCCCATGCAGGTCTCTTCAGTAGCTTGACAGTTAAGAGCTATAAATTGTGAGATTCAGTGATGTAGAAAAGCCTCGAGTCATCCATAATTTCCTTATGTTTTATTTCAAATGATTAAGATTTTCTCGTAATTTACAAAAAATGCTCAACATCAACAGTTTTTCTGGCATTCTGAAGGTCTTTAAAGATTTGTTTTTTTAGATTTTGGCTGTTTTTTCCGCATTTTTAGCTTAGTGTCTGACCCTGGCAGCAGATTGTGAAGGCTGTGCCCTAAAGTGAGTAAAGTGAACAAGTGAAGGACAAAAAAATGTATTAAAATATTTTAAAACTTCTTGGAAGTGATGTGTGGTGATTCAAGGGGAGGCTTTTATGCAAAGTACAGAATTGGAATGAAACAAGTATGAGGTCAACTGCTTGATTAGGGAGTAACAAATTAAAACTACAATAAAAACATTTTATTTTGCAAGTTGATGCAAAGTGAGTTTGCACATGTATTGTGTAATATTTGTGAATAACATCATTTGCATCTCTGTGTTTTTTCATTTATTGATCTCCTCCCAATGAAAAGGCTGCTTAAATGTGATAGTACCTACCTCCGTGCCCGGCTGTAAGTGTGGAGATCTGCTGCTGGTGATCTGGGGCAGGTATCTGCCTGCAGTTAATGAACTGCTCTCCTTCCATTAAAGACTTCATGTCGTGAATGACAAACGGCTACAGGAAGAGAACACGTTCAGAATAACTTAGGAGTGGGCAGAAAATAAAAACAAGAAAATAAAAAGGCATTTTACCGATCATTGAGCCACAGGTAAAACTAAACACTTCCTGTTTGTACACTTTGGTCATGGCACACGACTGCCTGCAGGAGCAGACGTCACACATCTAGTATAGGAGAAAACATCTCTGCTGTAGGCCGTGGCAGACTAAAGCACAACATTTTCAATAAATGGAGCTTAACTTAGCTTATCTTTAAGGAAAACACAGGACAAGTACCATCCTGAAAGAAGAATGTTGCAATTTATACAATAAAATTGTCCTTCAAAAAAGAAAAACAATTTGGGAAATCACAGGATGTCCAACTATGAATTACAGCAATAAAATTTGGACTTTATGCATGTGCTGCATTTGTTTTGGGCTTCATTTAGAACTTGCACCTATTTCTGAGACAACTCTTCTATGACTGTGTAAATATAAGGAAATCCAGGATGTTTAGATGATTCTGCAGAAAGTTTGGTTCATGGTTTTTAACTGTTGCAGCTCATGAATGGATTTACCAACAGGAACATTTCTGCAGATGTGCTCTCACATCTGGAATGATGAGGGCAGGAGCACGATGAGGCATGGCAGGACATAATGTAAAAAGTATGTTGCTGCTTCTTTTGTTACAGTAAAAGTGGATGAGGCTTCTTAATAAGGTGCTTTTGTGGTATTGTGTGATATTGTAAAATGCCAAATCTCAATCACATTAAATGTAGAAGACACGCTGCTATTTTCACATATTGTTTCACCAGGTGATCTTCTAGTAATTTGACTTGAAAATTTAGTATCTGTTTTAATGTTTGAAGTCTAATGGATCTGTAAAAACAGCTCATGCATTTAAACAATACTATTTCCTTTACTTTAATAAATTAAAATTTAACTTCATAAATATTCAAACTAAACAGTATAAAATAGAAAAACTGAAAAACCAGCATAATCCTATGTTGTTCTCCAAAACACTGCAATCATCTACTTTTACCAAATAATATAGTAGATTTTATAGTGTTCAGAGGGGAAAAAGCCATTATTTTCTTCTCTGCAGTAAAATATTATTACACATCAACTCATATCAAGACCTTGCTTGTAAAAAAAATGCAAATATTCTGCAAAGAAAACAACAACAATAATTTACTCCCAGTTTGTTTCAGGAGGTACACTGTGATTTAGTAAATAACCAATGAGAGCCTCAAACAATGAGCTGATTCTGTGTCATTTGGTTCCTATCTCTGATTTGAACAGTCAAAACAAGCAGACCGAGGAGATGAAGAGCAACCTTGAGCTGGTCAGACTTTAGAAAAACAACACACACACGCATACGCACACACACACACATGCATGCGCGCATGCACACACAACCATTAAACTTTAATATTGTCTGGGTTGACACTCACTTTGATGTAGAATATTCAAATTTGAGTTCTTATGTCTAATTAGGTGGAACAGAATATAATATAATATAATAAAATAGAATAGAATAGAATAGAATAGAAACAGACTTTGTTGTCCCACGGATGGGAAATTCAAATGTAACAACAGCAACAGATAAAAAGATTCACACAAAAAGTTCCTAAAATGTTAAAAAGAATATATAAAGAAATAAGATAAACAATATAAATAATAATGTTCAATATGAATTGGAACATTGAGAACGGCAGACTTTACAGTACAGTAGGCAGAGAGTGTGTTTTAGCAGAGGTCAGCATGTATTTAATACTTATTGTGCTTGTTTAGAGCAGTGATGGTTGTAGAGTCTAACAGCTGCTGGGAGGAAAATCTACTGGTTTTAATTTGTAACTGATGAAGGTAATTAACTTAGAATAAATTAACATGATTTATTAATGGTCAGCCTTGTTGTTGAAATGACTGACAGTATTAGAAAATATGGTGACAGTTTTACATAAACATAATGATTGGAATGCATCTTATCATATTCTCTCAATAGTAACAATTGTTATATAATTTCAAATAAAGTTTAGTTTTGAACATTAATGTTGTGTAAAATAAATGCTCTAAATAAATGATCTTCCACTACTAAGGAAGCTTAATGATTATTAATCTGCATCTGTTATTAATCCGAATTAATTGGAAAATTTTGGCATATCTGCAAAAATGTGAAGCTGTGCCTCTATAATATTTATGTACAGTAGTCCCTCGCTACTTGCAATTCATTTTTTGCAGACTTGCCCTATCTCGGTTTTTCAAAGTAAGATTGGACATGACACACAATTGGCTGCTTGATGGATGAGCCACATGTTCAGCATGGATTTTTACTTAAATTATTTTAAATGATTTAGCACCTTGTGTGCATCCCACAGCTGTGGAGAAGCTCCCTCCTGCAGCTGATCAGCTGATCTCCGCTCTGCAGTGAAGTGGATGTGGCCGAGAGCACTATTCTTTGCTATTTTAGAGTGTTTAGAGCTTAGAAACATTGTTTAGAATATTGCAAGAATGTAGGAAAGGTTTTATATAAATGCTAAAATAAACGTCTACTAACTTGTTGTACTACTATTCCTACTTTGAGGTTTTTCATTTATCGTGGGGCTTCAGGGTACGGACTCCCCGTGATAAACGAGGGACTATTGTATATCATTGATGACAACCAAGGGCTTTTCAGTTATACTGAATAAAAAAAGTGTTATACTAATCTAGTCAAAAATAAATTGGGCTCTGGCACCATTATTCATTTAGAATAGCTATGAATTGAAAAGAGTTTTGATCCAGCTGTTTGGAATGGCATGTCCGACGTGACCAGCACATTAAAAACATTACTTAAAATTCTTGAGCAAAACTGAAAGAACCAACTGATTACCTTAAATATTAAACCAAGTACAAAACCACAGAAATTACGGATTTTTATCTTTGACTTTTCTGCCAACAGATTTCCTAATATTAGTGGGCAACATTTTGCTTCCAGAGGGTTAATTTGAGTTATTTAAAGCAATCTAAGGGCTCGTAGTGATTTGAAAAATACATTTCCTTTAAGACATATAATCTAAAATACATTTCCAGGCTTTTTCTTGTAGCATAGTTTACAACGGAGCTTTAGGGCCACGCTAAGAAAAAATAAAATAATCACATTGCCACGCTAAGAAAAAAAATAATTAAAAGCCATAAAATTACGAGAATAAAGTCGTAATATTACGAGAATAAAGTTGTACGAAACTTATTTTAAAAAAGCTCTTGTTTATTTATTTATTTTTTCCACGAGTCAGATCCACGACATGACCTGTCAATCAATCCAGTAGGCGTTCAAAGCAGGTTCAAAGTCCTGATACTGATAATAATCTGATGCTGATGTGCTAACAGATTAACTATCGGTATCTCCTTATTTGTAAAACCAATATCAAAGCTCAACATTCTTCATTTTACCACAGTTAAATGGAAGTACAATGATATTCCGATTCATTTAGCTTTAGATTGGTAATTTGCTGACACGCCTACTGGATTGATTGACAGGTCGCGTCACGGATCCGACTTGTAGGAAAAAATAAATAAACAAGAGCTGTAAAAACAGTCTCGTACGACTTTATTCTCATAATATTAAGAGCTTATTCAACTTAATTCTCATAATACTATGACTTTATTATCGTAATTTTATGGTTTAATTTTTTTTTTTTTTTAGCGTGGCCCTAAAGCTCCGTCGTAATAGTTAGCATGCTTGACAAAAGTATGTTTCCTCAGTACGCTCTAGGAATATGAGACATGCTTTCTGTAAACTGGCTCTTGTGCAACATATTTGTTAGCTTAAAATATGCAAAAAAAATATGTTATATGTTTGCTTTATTGAGTTTTAAGGCTCAGTCTAGTTCTAGAAACACCGACTTATCAGAAAAAAAAATGTTTTAGCCTGTCTTAATGAAAATATTATAGATGTATTTGTCCAAGATGTTAAATTTTGATTTACTTAAATTTGATTGATAAAATGCAGGTCTCATCAACTTATTTTAAAGTTATTTTCATTTCAATTAGAGATATTGGGGCCAAATGGACATGTTTTAAGGGCAACTTTTGGCCCTCTGGTCATATGTTGCCCATGTGGACTCTATATGGATGTACAATATCTAAACGCCTTTGTGAATTAGTTTAACTGGCAGCATTAAAGCCACTGCTGGGCAGAAAACTAAAGAATTCTCCAGTTTTCACAGCTAAACCACTGTAATCTGAGATTTTTCTAACAGCCAAGACTAGAAGAAACCAGTTGATCCACTTTTCCTGTTAGAGCAGCAATAATAGCGTGAAAAGACCTCATTTGCACTAAACTAAATGTCATGGCATGAGGACAGGACTAGTAAAAGCTTTTTATCAAATGCACTTCGTAAAGTTTATTTTTTCCCAGCGTAAATCCTTTAGTCATGTAGAACACCACAGCAATTATGGAGATAATTATCTGTCTGTCTTTAACTAAATACTTGTAATTAGGAAAAAGAAAGAAAAAAAATTAAAGTCAAAGAACATTTTTAAAGTTCTAAATCTCTTTTTTTTTTTTTTTTGGAAGACTTTTAGGTATGGCCCCCTATAAAACACAAGCCAAATGTACAACATTTTCACACGAGGCAAACAGAAAAGCACAACTGGTTCAGCCGCCCAGACTGGGTCCAGACAAGAATGTACCGTAAATGTAGATAAATCTAAAGATGACTGATGTCAAATACTTCCAGTCTAAACTGTAGAGAGAGGAACATGTTCAAGTGCAGGTCTAATATTAAACCTTGATTTCCATCCATTAATGCCTGTAATTAGAATAGTGTCTGTGCTTCAGTCTATCATGTAAGTTCCTACCCAGAATTTATTTTAGGAATTACTGACAGTAAAGTGGAACTAGGGCAGCACTTCTTACCACTTTTTCTCCTGTCTTCCCAGAGAGGATGGCCCTGGCCTTGGCCTTGGTAAGGGGGAAATATTTTAGATAGGCTTCGTACAGATGCCGGGCCAGAGCCCTCAGATCTGCTGCCTCCGGGTGTAAATGCTCCATGTCAGAGGAGAACTCGGCCAGCAGTTTCTCCTTCTCCGCCTGGGGCATTCGGCCAAAACGAATGGCTGGGAAAGGAAACAGAAATGTACATTGGAGCAAGAAGGGAAAAAGGACACTTCTGACTTATACAGAACAAATAAACAAAGGAATACACAATACTAAAAATAAATATGCCTCGTGTTTGAAAGTTTATCCTAATATTTTTTAAGTGGAAAAAAAAAATCTGTAAGTTGTGGTTCACAATGAAAAACAAATAAATTTGGCTTTACATCAGCAAACATACTGTGACGGAGGACTTAACCTCCAAAACTTGAGCTGCACCTCCTTTGTAATAATGTACATTTTCAGCACAATCACAGTTCTGACAATTTTCAGACAAAGCATTTTGTGATGCCTTGTGAGTCAAAAATCCTGGATACAATAATTAAAATCTTTGCTTTTGTCTTCATATGTGCGATTCCAGAAAAAGACAAGCGAAACTGGGACCTAAACCGTCTCATCACATGACAAACCAGAGGCCTGTCTTGTTCCTTCTTTTGACAAGTTAGCCAAATGCAAAATACTTGTCGTTTAAAACATTATCCAACCCCAAGCTAACCCTAATATGTGTAATTTAAGTCCAAAACTAAACTGTAAACAGATTTTGTGCTAGAGTGCTTCAGCTGCTGTTCAGTTTCACAACAGCTCTTTAACCTATCAATGAATTAGACCGGCTAATGTCCACAAAATGACCTTCTGTCTAAAGCTAACAAGCAGCTCAAAGCAAATAATACGGAAATAGTGAAACATTTCATCATGTGGGTGATGTGTGTGTTTATTTATTCCTATTTGTTCAAAATGGTCTATATTAACTTGTTGCATCACAAACAGGCATTACACTCATTCACACAAAAGCAGTTTTTACAAAATGATAAACCAGGATGTTAAAAAACTGCACCCAGGGAGAGACATGAAGAAAATGATCAAACTTCTACAAATGAGCCTCACTGGCAGTGTCAGCGAGAGGACAGACCTTGTTTTAACAACACATGATGAATGGTCCTGTTGAGCTTTTATAAGGTGTGTCTCATGATGCCTTACAATTATTCCTTCACCTTGATAATGCCTTGGTAATTTTGTTTACACGGCTCAATGAAAAACTATCCCTATCTACTCTCATTTCTCCTCTCCTTTCCTTCCTTTGCAGCTGGTAATAATACTCTGAACATTTACAAAAACGTGCTGAACAAAGAAGGCCGGATTCATTTCATTTACAAAAGAGAGCTGCTTTTTTTTTGCTGTAGAAATATCCAGATTAGCTCATTTAAATTTGACATGGTTTTGTCAGATTTAGTCATCTGAAACTTTACAATTGCCAAAGCCTGACTTTGTCGTTATCTAGCTTTATTGTATAAAATAGTTTACAGTATTTATCTTTAGTAAACAAATCTTTATAGATTATTTTCATTATTAAAGTTATCAAAATTGAAATGCACTTTAGATTATTTCCTGGTGTGATGAGAATAAAGTACAATTTTGTGCTGTGACGTAGTCAAACAGGTTCACAAAAGTGGAAATCGTTAATTATCCCTCGTCTCCATTCAGACGTGCACTCTGTTTTTACTGCAGCTTTATGCGATTGTGTAACTGTCTGTTTGACAAATACACACCTTGAGCAAATTAATACAAACTTAAAGTGGGCCTACTACATGTTGGGCAACAAGCCTGCAGCAGTGACACAGCATGTTTGGAGCAATCTGTTCAACTCTCAGAGATGTCAATCATTGATAAATTAAATAGCCACAATGGGCACCTTTTCAAAGCACTGACTGTAAACCTGTGAAGCAGCATTAAAGAGATGGGAGGGACTGTGGAGGTGGGGAGACAGAAAGAGAGATAAACAAACCAATTATAGTAGAATCTAACTGTAAATGTGCAGAGGTTCTGTTGATGTACATGTCTTTGATTAAAAAAATATTATAATTACAACTGCAATAATAAATGCTAGTATTTTTTATTTATTTTGTGCACCAGCTCCAGTGCATGAGATCTCTATAAGTTTTCATGAGGGCAGATTCTGAATGGGAGAGTTTGAACTTGAAACTCTCTGATCAAGAAGTAGCTTTAGTTCAACTTTTAATGTTCATGGCAGGACAAAAAAAAACAAAAAAAAACAACAACTCTAATTTGTTGCTGTAGAACCAGATGAAAAGCTGTAGTGTATTCATTATAGGATGAAAAAAACAAAACTTTTATCTTTTACGTTAACGAACAGGGGAGCCATATGGTCAAATCTTAATGTTACAACCAGAGAGGAGAAAAGCAACATCAACTTTTCCAGTGACACAGTTCTTCAAGCTCCTTTTTAGCTATTCTAGTTTTGATAAAACTCATAATCCAGCAGCAGTTCCAGGAACCGTGGGAGAAGTTACTGGCAGAATAGCTAAAACCCACTCCTAGTTTGGGACAATGACTGGTATGTACAGCTGTGTCTAGTTAATTTATTTTATTTTATTTTATTTTTTACAGAAAAATAAGTCAAGTTGGTTTCTAGAACTATCATTACAAGTTTTTTCAAAGTTTAGAAATTTAAGCCATGTTTAATTCAAAAAGTAAACTTTTCAGTCTGGAAATTTTCATAATTTATGTGAAGAAAAGTGGCAGATGTTTAATTAAAATATTGTATTCTTAACTATTGCACTTCAGTTTTATCACTGTGTCAAATTCTTCTGTGGTACAAATACACAAACACTTTGACTAATTTATGTGATAGTATATTTTATGCACTTTAACAGTGAAAAGTTACAGTGCCTATTGAGAGTATTCACCCATGGATGTGTTATTCTGTTATTGCTGTCATAAATTAATCATGGCCAATCTAAATTGGCCTTCAAAAATAATAAAACACACCCCTTTTTTATCCCTTCGATGTCAAAGGGAAATCAAATATCTACAGGGTAATATTAATTAAAGACAACCGTAATGTGAAGTAAATATTCATCCTGTTTAAAGTGACCGTATATTTCAACTACAGTCTCTAAACTATCTAGACAAATTCAAATCTTAGTTTTTTTGCAACTGTGGCTTTTTCTTTGCCACTCTCCCATAACTCACGCAAAAGCTGTTACATGCCCAGTCTCTCCCATCACACCTCTGAAGCTTGTAACTCCTTCAAAATGGTCACAGGAGTCTTGGTGGTCTCTATTTTTTCTCCTTCTTTCATGGTCACTCATTTTGTGAGGATGACCTGCTCTTGGTAGATTTACTCATGTTCCATATTCCTTCCATTTCTTAATGATGGACTTAAAAGAACCCCAATGTTGGAAATCCTCTTGTATCCCCTGCCTTGCACGTTCCAATAATCAAAATTAAATTAAATTAAAATAGGGCAGCCACTTTGATGGGAAAGGGGTGATAGCTGGTCTCTCCATTCATGCGTGGGTTTTCTCCAGGTACTCCAGTTTCCTCCCACAGACTAAAAACATGCATGTTAGGCTGATTGGTAACTCTAAATTGTCCCTAGGTGTGAGTGAGAGAGTGAATGGTTGTTTGTCTAGTTTGTCTCTATGTGTCTCTGTGATGGACTTGTGACCTGTCCAGGGTGTACCCCGCCCCTCGCACAGTGATTGCTGGACATGGGCACCGGTGACCCCCGTGACCCAAAATGGAATAAGCGGGTAAAGATAATGGATGGATGGATTTTTTGTAAAGAAGGACAATTTCTATTGGCCATGATGAATTTATGACAGGAATAAAAGTATTAAACATCCCAGGGGGTAAATACTTTTTAGGCATTGTATAATTCATCAGACTGTGCAAATCTGCTCAAGTTGTTACTTCAGCAATATTGTGCAGAAACAAGTCCAATATTTATTTAATTATGCTCTATCAGTGGCATCATGCACATTTTCAGTAACATTTGATAAATGAGTAGTTGATAAAAATCTTTACATATCACCCGAGGTCAAAAAGTGAAGGCACTGTAAGTTGTTCCACCCTAACAGGTGCAACAAAACCAACACGAGACTCTGAGAGATGACAGTCAAGCACAACCTGAATGTGCTCACACAGTCACAAGCTCTGTGATGAAACACACCTGAGAAGGAGGAGTCAGTCAGGCTCCAGTGAGTAACAATGGCTCACAACGTAAAACCAGTAGCTAAACAGTGGTGGGCGAGGAACAGGATAATTCACTGTAATGTTAACAACAAAGTCCATGCTCATAAATCCAGGTATACAATCCAACATTTTTCAGTCAGGTCATCTGGACAGTTTGTTTTTTTTGTGCTGAAACGTTTCGCCTTCGGTGAAAGGCGAAACGTTTCAGCACCAAAAAAAAAAAAAAAGACACTGTCCAGATGACCTGACTGAAAAATGTTGGATTGTATACCTGGATTATTGAGCATGGACTTTGTTGTTTTCAACCAGTTTGACAAGACTGTCAACAAGGAAGAGGGCCGGCAATGGAGGAGGGGCGTACCAAAGAGACCATCTTATCACAAGCAGAACTGGTTTGTTCCACTTTGGAGTAAGCTGTTGGGGGAAGAATCAGTTTTTTTGTCTGTTTCCTGGACTGATGAAGCCTTCCAGACCGAAGGCGAAATGTTTCAGCACAAAAAAAAAAGAAACTGTCCAGATGACCAGACTGAAAAATGTTTCACTGTAATGTTGTACACAAGTTTTGCACATATAAGAAGTGTTATAAAGTTTGCAAAGTTCAGTCTTTTGATAGTTTTCATCTTAGTATTTCAGTAGTCTGTTTCATTTACCTAAATCAATCAGGAAACAACACAGCACGATTGTTTCGCTGACAGTTTTTAATGATGCCACTGAAGCACTGGATTATTGTGCTCTACTTTTCTTAGACTTCTCTAAAGCTTTTGACACTGTGGACCATGCCATCTTGTGTCATAAGCTCTCAGAAAATGGTTTCTTAGATCACACCATTGGTTGGTTCTCTAACTATCTCTCAGATCGGAGGCAATGTGTTCAACATAATGGTACTTCTTCCAGTTATCTAATTGTTAACAATGGTGCACCACAAGGCTCAATCTTAGGACCCACCCTCTTCACAATCTACATAGGTAATGTAGGTCAGACCATCCCTTATATTCATAATGTACACAGCTTATTGAACTAATGAAGACTGTTATTAACAGTGTGTGAACTACAGTTTAGAGCAAATCGGACAACTTCACAGGTAGTTGGCATGCAGAAAGCACAAGCAGGTCTTTGCAGCCTAGCAGCAATCAAGCATTCATCTTCCTTGTCCTCCTGTGCATCAGTAAAATATAATTTAAGAAAATAATATTTAAAACTCTGGCTCGTTCTCACTTGAAGTAGAACAATATAATTAAACATCTCATGACAGATATAGCTGGTTCCCAGTAAAGTCCTACCAAGATCATATGAAAAATAAAGTACAAAACCAAGTATAAAAGAAGAGATTTTAGGGGGTTAAAGCTAATTTAGTCACAACCTCGTGTTTGAAGGATGTTTAAGGGTGGCAAACAGAACACTGCACCAGAGACGGGAACTGAAATATGACCTGAGGGTTGCTATGAAGACCACAAGAGAAACAACTGGCAACATATATGACAGCACTGTAAGTTGCTACCACACCTCTAAGACTAAATTTGCAGCACTGTGTTGTTCACAGGGGATATCTGAGGACACAAAGCTGATCTGTGAAGAGAAGTTTCTTTGACCACAACTTCAAAAAAGAATCATTCTGTCTTTATTTACATCTACCGTTCATCACCTGCCACCATAAAAAAAAAGTTGTCACCTGTGAATGTGTGCATCGGTATCTTTGTCTGTATTTCTGTGTGTTAGCAAAAAAATAACTCATTAGCCACTGGACAAATTGAAGCTCCTAGAAAGCAATTATTGGACATATATCTACAAAGAAATAACTTAGAGTCAACTTGACACAAAATGATTGCCACAAATAATCAACCTTCACAAAAATTGCTATAACCAAGCTAATTTAACAGATACTGAGCTAAAATTTGGTGTGGAAGTAGCTGAGAGTCATACCCATCACATAGTTTGAGCATTAACAGATTGCCCAAAATATTTGTCAAGAACACTGGTAAGCATGGTGACATGTGCCAGGCATTTTTTTCAAGAAATGCTTCTTTCATTTCTAGTGATGATACAAAAAGTGGTTCATTCCTATCTTAAAAACAGATAAAGCAAATCAGCAGATCATAAAGAAAATTGGTTTTGTCATATGAATATATTGCAAATGAATTACCTTTGTATTTCAGGTTATCTTATTAAAAAAAAAATGTATAAAAATCACATGTTTTGTGCTGCTAAATGGGTTTAAAACATCATCTTCTTACCATTGTGTGACATGCCGACATTAAGGCACTTCTGGAAACGACAGTATTGGCATTTGTTACGGGACTTTTTGTGAATGCGACAGTGAAGATCACAGTGATCGTACACCAACTTTAGCCTGATGGTCCGTCTGAAGAAACCCTACAAAAGGAAAGGGACAATTACTACAGATATAGACACTGGAAATTGTGTTATTCTCTTAATTCTTTAATGTTTTGTAACATGTTTGGTCACACTGCCAAAACGTTACCATTTAAAAAAGAACTGAAAAATTGAGTGAGTGTTTATGGATTACATCAATATGAAACACCACAATGTAAAAACAAAAACTTCTTGCCACCAACCTTTAAGATGATTTAAATCTTTATATTTTGCATTTGTTCTTAATCTGAGAAGGAATAAATCATTCTTCCGACAACTGTATCTAAACAGATTGTAGTTTAGGGTGTGCTTTCGCAAATTCAACCTTAGGACCAAAGAAGCCATAAGACCTGGACTTATCACAGCTATTAAGTTTGCAGCCATGGTCAAATACCCATACACACACTCAGTCAAATAGTTTTATGACTGAAATGTGTAGTGCTTAAAGGAAAACCTCAAAGTTTTAGAATTTACAACAATATTTTTTATGTAAGCTCAAAAATTCCCATCAGATTTCTCTAACTCTGCTTGAGTATTTATAACCTACACTGCTACATCCAGATGTTTCTTTTTTAATCATAGGTTATTTACAGAAGGAGGAAGTTAAAGGGGGTCAAGACTCCACCTCAATAAAGAATGTTTTCTGTTTTGGAACAATTAACAAATTGCCTGCTTGGCTGACCCCCATCTTCTGGCGAGTCTCCCCTGAGACTTGAGAAGAACAATAACAACTGTACCTTTTTTCATTCAGCCCAGAAATGTACAATAAGACCGAGGGACAGAAAAAAAACATGTACCTTACTGCACTGCAATAGTCCTAATAGTGTCAAAAAAATGCCACTTCAACTGTGTAGTTGTGGTTGAGGCTAAAGTTGGTTGTTTTGCATTAGACTAAACTAGATGCCAGGTTATTTTTAAAGAAGCTGTCAAAATTTAAATACAGCTTTAAAATTTCTACACAACATGTCTGCAATGTGATGGCAAAACTTTTTATTTAAACATGTCTATGTTAGAAAAAAATAGGTTACATTTTTCTATTAATAATCTATTAATTATTTAATAATGACTGCATCAGCAAATTTGCATTTGCTGATGCAAAATAACTTGTGTTTATAATCTGGATGAATATTTAATTTTCCTTTTGCTGAAATGTTGCATCAATCAAGTTCTCTTACACTAGTGAGCCACTTTTGTTTGTTCATAAAAATCTTACACAATACGTATTCTTGTTTTTCTTTAGTATGAAATGCCCATGTTTATTGAGCAGCTTATATGCATTAAAAAGCCTCTGCTTGCATTAGCAGCCTAGCATCTCGTTGTGGTCTCCTGTTTAGGAACATTATGGCTTTCTTGTTAAAAGACAAGTGAACAAATCTAAAGCTGTGTGTCGACGTTGTTTCACAGAGACTGGATCTGCAGCAGCAACACGTCTAACTTGTTAACACACTTGAAATGACATCATCCGAACGTGAACGTCTTTTCTACAAGCAAGAAAAGCAGCTTGTTGCAAACCCCGACAACAGCAGCATTTAAACAACCTTTTATCAGGTCATTCAGATCGGTCCAAAACAATAACATAAGCTGTAGGAGGTTTTTAAAGCTCTAAATTTACGTCCAAATGTTGTTGATGCGCCGGCTTTAAAGTTATTGAGCTCCGCTACGACATCCCATCACGTCAACACTTCAGCCAAAAAGTTGTAGCAGCACTTTATGAAAAAGCTAAAACTGATATTGTCAACAAGCTCTGGACCAGATTAAAGCCCTGCCCTGATGATGATGAACGAGAGATTCAACCACCTCATAACAACCGTTCAAGAAGAGGTATTGTTATTTTATTATTATTATCTAATTGACTTTTTTTTATTTAAAATTATAATTTCATAACTCATTTTTTTTTACCTCTTTGTGTTTTATTTTCAGTCTGGGACCGAGATAACAGCTGATTCTTTCTATTCAGGGAAATCCACCAGAGATCACCTCCAGCTAAGAAGTCTGTGATGACTGAACCCTGAACTTTTCCACGGACCTGTCCCACCTGTGGAAGCAGGTCCAAGAGGTTGTGAGTAATGAGGCCAAATCCAGCCACACTGCAACATGAGCAAAGCTCTACCTCTATATTCTGCACTGCTGGAGATAATGTCACTGCAACTAGATCTGTGCTTGTTGGTCTTTTTGGACAAAAACTGAAAACTTGATTAGTTAGATTGTAAACGGTCTGTTGCTGCTTATTGTTCTGGTTCTGACTGTTATTGTGTTTATTAAGATTTTATTATTGTTAGTATAGTTTATTTATTGTAAAGAGTCCTGTTTATTTAAACTATCATCCAAATGGGTCGCTTTATTTATTTTTATACAAACGTATTGTTTACTTGGCATATTTTCAAAATAAACGTTTTGTAAGTCTTTATTTTGGCCTTTTTTTGTACAGAAAATTAACCGAACCGAGCCGTCCTTGAAATTGAACCGAACCGAAATGTGATTTTAGCGTACCGTTACACCCCTAACCACTACAATAATTAAGGACCTACCCTTCTCTGGAGGAATGCCTAATCTCTATGCATATGTTACACTTTTAGAAATTATAGCCCAGCTCATCTCCAGTGCAACATATTTATTTTGTTTTGAAACTGACAAACACAAAACTACAGGTTAACAAAGCGTGCATGGTGCATGTATCTGTACACTTCCTCATTATGTACCGACTAAACTTCTGCCTTACAACCAGAACACAATACACTTGGGCTGTAAAACACATTATCAGTACTGTTAGGGCTGAGCGATATGCACCAAAATTAATATCTCAATTTTTTTATTTTTTTTTT